TTTAACTTTTTTCCAGGTGTATATTTCTCTTGAATAGATAATAAATGTTAGGTTTTGGTTTTTATAAATGTTTCGAAATGATTACGAACAACACAACCACAAAAGTGACAAAAAAAACGACCGATGTTTCGTAATACGCACATTCTGGCATCGGTAAATTCCTACAAATACAAAATAATAATCACAAATAACAAAATGAATAAAAAATAAAAGTTTTCTTCACTTATATACTCCACAAGATCATTCAAAAGTTTCTGAAACTTAAACTAGCCAATCATTGTCTCCAAGAAAAACCTGACCTATTTCTCCCACCAGCAACAACTTATATCATCATGTCCTTGTTTATAAAGTGGACTTCTTCCTCTCTGGAGTTTATTCACACACTTTCTTTCATCACATTGAAGATTGACCTACATCTTCAACGGATCAAGAACAATAGACTAAGAATAGTCAAAGCTTTAGATGTTTCTAGTGATCTTGACAGTGGTGGACTCATTTTCACTTCAAGATACATGTACGCAAGTCATCGCTAACGGTTGTAACTTCTGCTTACCTCCAACCAAACTGTCAAATTGTTTTGTTTTTCTCACAGAATACTCAATAACTTCTTTGTCCCCAATCCCATCAACCTTGAGTCCTCAATCCTACCATGCTTTGGTTAAGGTGTAAGCTTTTCTTCATGTACCCATAATCCTTCAAACGAATGATGAAAAAAAACAAGTTTAAGCTAGTTTCTATAGTTCAAAGTTTACTTGTACAGCTGTTCTGATGGTTTCTTAAAATATGACCACTTGCTAATTTGTTTTAAATTTCCCACTCTCACAATGATTATAATCATCTTCAATCATCCGGGGGGTCTAGCATGGCCTGGTGGTTAAAACTCTCAACTCGCAGGTTGCAAGTTTAAATCTTTTCACCAAATATGCCGTGAGAGCATTATAATGTCACAGTCAATCCCACTTTTTGTTAGTAAAGAGTTGGCAGTAGGTGGTGTTGACTAGTTGTCTATTGATCCAAAATTAGGAATGGCTAGCGCAAATGGTACTCGAGACAAACTGTTCTATCCCACAAATTGGTTTAGTTTTAAATACAGACCTAGTTACTTGTATCAAAATTCAAAGTAGCTAACAAATGTCACTAATTCATATAAAACTTAAGTAGTGTGCATTTATGTATTTACTAGAAAAGACCCACAAAACATTTGTGGTCAAATTAGTATCTTTATTGCAACAGTACTTTAAATACAGAATTTCTAAAATAATTCTAATCGCAGACACTGAAATCTAAGTCTACTTGTCTTAGGCCTGACATTAGTTAAGCCTTTATTAAGTACAGCTTATATTCGATAAAGAGATAAATTAACATTGCAACTTGTTTATGTTTTTGCTTTAGAATAGTTAGGACTAAACTTTACCATACTTAATACTATCAATAAATAAACTTACAATATTATTCTATGACCCAACATTAGACTTTAATAAGCTTTTAATATGTTGTTGTACAAAATGTTTACTAAAATATATTTACATTCACGTTTTGTTTACATCCATTAAAATAGAATGCATGCGCATTTAAATAGTAAGGTGCGCATGCATTTCCTACAATATCTCTAGCCCCCTAGTGGCTCGGTAGTAAGTTTGAGGGCTTATAACTAAACACTGGGTTTTTATACTCTCGGAAAGCGCAGCACAGGTAGTCCATTAAGTAGCTGTATATTTAACAACAAACAAGCCTTGACATTGCATGGGTTTATCTAGAAAATATAGTCGCTAAGTCACTCAAGTGCAACTTGGAAGAATTGTTTTCAAGTCACATAAGTTAATATAGATACGATTTTAAAGTCGCGTAGATTTATCTAGGGAAAAAAGTCCCTCAGTCACAGCGTTTCAGCTTTTAAAAAAATGGTCTCCAAGTCATAAGGTTTTATCTAGGAAGAATTGTCTCGAAGTCACGTAATTTTATATAGAAAGAATTCTCTTTAAAGCGATTTCCCACGGTAAACACCGCAGAATCCCGAATTCAAATCACTATTTATCAAGGATTGTTGTGGTAATTGTATTTTTGTGTCTAAACCATTATCAATACATTTATAGGAGAAAGCCTAAATAGAAAATCCCCAATCTTTCTAAATTTCAGACCACAACTAACATCAACAGCCTCAGTCTTAAAGTGACTTAACAGTTTTAAATAATTATACAGCGTTTTAAATGGGGGAGGGTTTTTTTATTTTTACAAACTACGAAACTAATGGAAACATGAAGAAATTAGTGTTAGAATTAGAAATAACATATAAAAATAATGTAATATTCAATTCGAAGAAAAAAGATGCATATTTATTAATTTCAATCACCCTTTAGAAATATTTTTATTTTATGAGAGAGAAATATTATTCCATTTTAAGAAAAGAACCGTAATAGTCCCAAAATGAAAACTTTTCTGTATAAGTGTGTTTTTAGTTACGATAATTCAAAATTTATAATCATTTAGGTAAGTTGGTTTTCAGTGTAAAAATCTTGTCCACTGCGAGGAATGTTTTATGTTCGTAAACTTTCCGCTGATCCCGGTAGGATATCGATCGTTTGACGAGTCAGTGTGGGTGATCATATAACGACTGATTGAGTAGTTTCAGTGTGTGTGTAATTTCTCACAGTTAGCCTCATTGGTTTTATTAATTCGAATTTCTAGAGCAAATATTCCTGTCTTCTAGGTATTCGTTCACCGTGTGAAAGAACTTCTTATATTTCTTGATTTTTTAAAGAATTGACAATTAAAAATATAAAGATAGACGATGTGAAGAATTTTCAAGTAAATGTATTACATTTATATACTAAAAGTTTTTGTGCTACATTCAATTTTAATAATTCTATTGGTGCTAATTTAAAACATGCATAATATTGATATTTCAGCTGTTAATCGAACACAGTAAAATCCAAGCCTTGATATTAAAACACACTTAAGATATTGTTGCGTCAGCGAGGTCACGTGACTAGTATCACGCCACGTCCTTCTCGAACCTTCGTGAATTATCGGGAGACTACTAGATTGGGGGTAGCCTGGTATATATAAGACGGTCACAACGTGACGGAACAGTGAGTAATTGAACTGCAGTCAGAGAGTGTGTAATTGAACTGAGTATTGTTGAAGTCGAGCACGTGAGACGTTCGTTGAGAATTATAGCGCGACTGCTGAAATTAAGTGTATCGCAAAGTTATATTTAGAAAGAATAAACCAGTTTTATTTAAGAAAGGACTCGTATCGGTAAAGTTTCTTCGGTAAGAGTTTTAACAGAAAATTAACTAACGAACGGAGACGTAACAAATTGGTGTCAGAAGTGGGGATAAACAAAAAAAAAGAAGAAGATGGAAACGAGAGGCGGAAAATCAAACTACAGCTTAGCAGACTTGATGGCAGCAATACAAGAACAGCAAAAGAAACAAGAAGAACGAGAAGAGAAATTACAACAGTTGTTGGAAGAAAAAGAAAAGAAACAAGAAGAAAGATTACAGCAGTTGTTAGAGGAAAAAGAAAAGAAACAAGAAGAAAGATTACAACAGTTGTTAGAGGAAAAAGAAAATAAACAAGAAGAACGAGAAAAGAAACAAGAAGAAAGATTACAGCAGTGGCAAGAAAACCTACAACAATGGCAGCTCGAACAGCAAAATAAACAAGAGAGACTACCGCAGTGGTTGGATCAAAAAGAAAATAAACAAGAAGAGAAATTACAGCAGTTGTTAGAGGAGAAAGAAAATAAACAAGAAGAGAAATTACAGCAGTTGTTAGAGGAGAAAGAAAATAAACAAGAAGAACGAGAAAAGAAACAAGAAGAGAGACTACAGCAGTGGCAACTGGAACAAGAAAGGAAACAAGAAGTACAAACAGAAAACATTAGTAAATTTAAAAGCGAATTATATACGTTAAAGGACGATTTATTGTCTTTTACACAAGGAGGATACATTAACCATCGACTTAACCAGCCCCAGACAATGACAAACCCCTTCCAGACCCTGCAGCTAAACCCTAATGGAGACATCTTCAGTCCCGTTAGAAGTCACATCCCAGATATGAATGTCAGTAATAGGAGTGATCCAGTACGAAGGAAGCCACGGGAAGTCGATGGGAAGGCACCGTGGGAAGCATATAGAGCACAGTTTGAGCTACTGGCAGAAATGAATGGGTGGACAGAGGAGCAGAAAGCAGTATATCTGGCAACGAGCTTGAAGGGACAACCACTGGAAATACTCGGACAGTTGTCAGCAGACGACAGACACAACTATAGAGCACTGGTGTCGGTTCTAGAACTCAGGTACGGAGCCCAAAATCAGTCAGAAGTCTATAGGGCTAGGTTTAGGACGAAAGTCCGTGCTAAAGGGGAGAGCCTGCAAGAGCTGGCACAGGACTTGGAAAGCATGGCACACAAGGATTACCCAACTGCACCACCCGATCTCCTCAAGTTGTTGATGAGGGATCAG